ATTGGCCCAGACCCTGACCTGCCCCACGGTCCTTCAAAAGCAAAAGTCTACCAGGCATTTCCCTGGAGTCATTGGTATGCTCCAAATGTAGTCTATAGCCTACCTCTGCCAATACTTAATATATAGTCCCCTACCCCCCACCCCAGCTGCTACCCTGGCCAAATATGAGTCAGAGGGTGAAACTCTAAGTTTCTACTTGGTCATCTGGGCCCATTCTCCACTTGTGCCATGATTCTGTGCCCCTGGGAGATTACCCCATGCATGGCATCATCTGTGCCCACACATTCTCTGCCTTCTAGTAGGTTTCAACCAACCCTCCTGGCAGGAGATTCAAGAGGGGGATGGGTTAGCCAGGGTATGCATTCCCGTCCCTCCATGTCAGGGTTTGGCCTGGGCAGTGGTTAAGTTCTTCTGTGCAGGCCGCCCCTCCTTCCTGTGACCTCACATATAGCACTGGCCTCTTACCTTATATGCAGCTCGTATCACGTGTCAATTAAGGTCTAAAGGTGGTAAAGGCTTCTCACAGTGGCCAACTTGTGGGTGCTTCATATTTAAATATGCCATCTGTTAGACACCTCCCACGGTAACTCAGGGTGGTGCAAACCAAAGGGGCTCTCCAAGCAAAGTTCAAAGGACAAGCAACATTCAAACACGTGGGAGATGAAGTCCTAATTCATGACCTGTCCAGGAGAGAGAATTCTAACAGACTGACAACCAGGGGAGGGCCTGAACACAGGATTCCAAACAGACAAACCCAACCATAAACAAGTCAAAGGCCCTCTAAGGGACCATCCACAGGAGATCGATCTCTACTTTCTAAGCCACAGCAATGACTTGATCAAGTTGGGCACTGATAAGATAAAAAGGGAGATTACTGAATCTGCTTTTTAAAAGGAACTACTTATTTTAAATAGGATAAGTAATGAAAATTCTTTGTCTGAGTTATCAAATGTTACTGGACTGGACATTGTTAATATATACAATGGAGTTTTTGAATCTGAATCTGTCAAATGTTAATGGACTAGACATTGTTAATGTAATTCTTGACTGTATATATTGCATATACTTATTGGATATAGTTTTTCTTGTATTAGTTATAAGCTTTTTTAAATTTTAGACAAAGAGGGGAAATGTGGTGATATTGTGTTCCCCAATATATTGTGCACCCTAATAAACTTATCTGGGGTCAGAGAACAGAACAGCCACTAGATATAGAGGCCAGAAAATGGTAGCACTCATGCCTTTAATCCTAGCATTCAGGAGGCAGAGATCCATCTGGATCTCTATGAGTTCAAAGCCATACTGGAAACAGCCAGGCATGGTGACTTATGCCTTTAATCTCAGGAAGTGACAGCAAGAAGCAGAAAGGTATATAAAGTGTGAGGACCAAGAACTAGAGCTGGTTAAGCTTTTAGACTTTTAGCAGCAGTTCAGCTGAGATTCATTCTGGATGAGGACTCAGAGGCTCCCAGTCTGAGGAAACAGGATCAGCTGAGGAAATGTCGAGGTGAGGTAGCTGTGGCTTGTTCTGCTTCTCTGATCTTCCAGCATCCACCCCAATAACTGGCATCAGGTTTGGTTTTATTAATAAGACCTTTTAAGATTCTTGCTACTGGGCACAGGGACACAGTGATTATGCAATTCCCAGGTTCATCTCTCCTTTTCCAAAAGCCCAGTGTTAAATGTAAGTTCCTCAGAGAAGAGTTTTAATCAAGCATTGTAATCCTGGAGCCCAGAATCACCAGACCCAAAACAAGAGACCAGAGGCTCAAACTGGACGTTTGCAGTTAAACTTACAGCTAACTTCCTCCCCTCCCAAACCTCTCTTATTTCTGAAACGGAGTCTCATGTAGCCCAGGCTCTGTAGCTGAGAATGATCTTGAACTCCTGATCCTCTTGCCTCCAACTCCCAAAGGGCTAGACGACAGGGGTGCACCGCCACAAGGTCTATTTATTGCCCAGCCTTCTCATTTTTTCTGACAAAATGCCAACTCCCTTCTGGCCTCTCAGCACTCAGACTGAAGCGCAGGAGTGTGGTGCAGTCCACCTCCGTGGGGACAGATGCTCCTTTGCCCTACCCTCCCGACCTTGACAGGGTTCCTCTCCTCTACTTGGCTGCTCTTGAGTGGTTTCATAATGAAACTGTGGTGCCGGGTACCGTGCTTTCAGAATTGAGTCACCCCCGCAAATCAGTCTGAGGGCAGTTATAGAAAGACGTCTCCAACCTAAAACCAAGCCAAGTGTGGGTGGCGTGGTGACGCCAGGATCTGCAGCTGGCATGTGAAGTAGGTACCCTGGTGAGATGGCTTCCCTTACCTGTGGGGTCTCCAGTTAGTGCAGGAAGGTAGGGTCAGAACTGAGCTGAACTATGGGGTGGAGCAGTTGGTGCTGGGGAGCTGGTGTGGGGATGTAACACTAAAGGAAGTTCGGGAGTCAGGGAAGCAGGAATCCCACCCGCTAGTGATAACTGGACCTCTCCCCAGTGACTCCTGCCACGGTGACTGCTTAGACATCGTCGAAGGCGGTCTGTGGATGGATGTGTTTCATCTGGAAGCTCAGGACCCCCTGAGGAGCTGGGCCTACAGTGAGTGCTGCAGGCTCCTCGGGAGGAAGTGTGGTTTTGCAATCCAGCAGCAGCTGAAGCACCGGGAGGACACAGAGCTACCCCCCTGGGGAGCTGGGCCTGAGGAGGGGAAGCCTACACATCAGCCTGCTGTGGGAGCAGCACTGTGGTGAGCCTGGAGGCCAAAGTTCCCTGGTCAGTACCTCTCGGTGACCTTGACGTGACCCAGGAAAGTTAGCGCTGAGCTCACTGTCACCGTGATCACAGCCTGGTGCCTCTTGACAGGTCCA